GGGGGGGGGGCTGTGCTTGTGGGGCAGGGGGTATATGGGAACTCAGTACTTTCCGCTCAGTTTTGCTGCAAACCTAAAATTGCCCTAAAAAGTAAAGTCTATTTTTTAAAAAAATCAGTATTTAAATATGCCAACATAAAAAAAATCTCCTAGTTGGTTCTGTGGATTAATTGAGTGAAGGTATAGATAAGAGGTCAGCAAACAAATGCCCACTGGTCACATCTGGCCCACTGTCTGTTTTTGTATGGTCCCCAAGCTAAGAATGTCTTCGACATTTTAAATGGTTGAGAAAAGATCAAAAGAATATTTCATGACACATTAAAATTATATGAAACTCAAACTTCATTGTCCATAAATCGAGTTTTATTGGCACACAGCCACACCCTTGCATTTACATATTGTCCATGTACACTTACTTTCTACAAAGGCAGAGCTGAGTAGCTGTGACAACGGAGACCTCTGGCCCACAACGCCTGAAATATTTACTCTCTGGCCTTTAACAGAAAATGTTTGCTGATGCCTGGTATGGAGGGTCAAAATCAATCCCTACATTAACAGATAGTAAGAACTTAAGAAGATCACCTATTAACATCACTATTAATAATAAATGTATCCTCCTTAACTAGTCATGCTGAACACTGAATCTTTTTCATTAGTAGCAGTTTTACCATGCAGGAATATCCAAGCAGGAAGAAGAAAAGAGAAAATATTATGTCATAAGGAAATTTTACTTGACTTTTCTGTGGCTGACTAATTCAAACTCTTTTGTTTGAGAGGCAGACAGGGAGCCCAATAGCTACTTGGTTTTCTTTACGTTGAGTACCACTGTTTTTCCCTTGAGCCTGTATCATCGCCATTTCACCATGCACGAGAAAGCAAGCCTTAACAGCATGATTTTCGTAGCCATGGATGGCAGGTAAATGGGCAACTGAGTAAGACCACTAACACAAAATTACAACTGCAAAAAAAAGAGAGAGGCAGAGAGAGAAACCAACAAAAGCTAATAACTATAAATCCCACTTTCTATTGTAATTCACAATTTTTTAAATACTTAGAAATTAAAGCACAAATGCAGTCAGGTAGGAATGATTTCAATTACTCATTTATCTTATTTGTCTGTCCTCCTCAAAGGAAAGCCCATCCTGATTTTGTAGTTTCCTCCGATTATCATTCAAAGCAAACTATCTTAACTTAAAGGTGCAAAGTTACCTCACTTCTAAGCTGTGAGTTCAATTTGAACTAGTTGACCATGGTCAGACCAAGTAAACTGCAGTCATCCACAATATACACGTCCCATCCCGGATGGCTTCCCTAAGTCCTTGGGCCTGCCATTCAATACACACTACAGTTGATCTCCTTCAATGCCACCTGGTCATCCACTCACTGAGATAGTTTAGCTTAAAAGATTCTCAATCAAGCCTGGACAGCGTGGCTCAGTGGTTGAGTCAGCCAATTGATGTTTCTATTTCTCTATCCCTCCCTCTCCCTTCCTCTCTCTCTAAAATCAATAAAAACATATTTTTTTAAAAAAAAAGATTATCAATCCAAACCTAGAATGCAGATCCAAAGTGTATCTGAATGTTCATCTCTTTCCACTCCTACTGGCCCAAGTAATCATTATTGTGGTCATTTCTTCACAGCCTTCCCTTACCCATCTCACTGGTGATTTCTATTGTGATACATGTCCCTCTTCTGGAGTCAGACAGCCTAGATTCAAATACTAGCTCTGTCATTTACAGCTATGACCCTAGGCAACTTCTTCAACTTTTCTAAACTTTGATTTTCTCTACCTATGTAGTACACAGAGTCATAACAGTGCCTGCCTTATAGAGGTGTGTGGGCGTTTACAAGAGTACCCAGGTGCTAAAAGAAAATTAGCTGTTATCATTTTCCAGAGCCATCTCCTGACTGATTCAATCAGATGACAAATGTTTACTGAATGTCTATTATATATGCTTGACATGTTCCCAGGTCCAGGGCTATGGGGGTGAACAAAAAGTTAAGGTCCCTGTCTTCTTGGACTTCACCTTTGCTGTGCAATTAAGGAGCAAATAAGCAGTGGTGTAATTGTACCATATTAGGGTACTGTCACGCTATTAAAAAGACTTCCCTTTGGAAAAGTTAGCAAAGTCAAAAAATGCCCCCAAAATGCGATAGAAAACTATAGTGTAGTCATAGTGTGTGGTTGCCAAAAAGTGTAAGAATTTTTCATATAAGATGTGCTTATGTTACATGAACAGAGCGGGATATAAAGTTGAACATAACATTACCTCACCTGTGTGTTGTTGTTTTTTTAATTAAGACTGGTCAAAGTACACCAAAATGCTAAATTTTAATATACGTAGGTGGTTGGGGGGTAAGCAGTTACTAGTTTTCTATATTTTTGAAAGCACAAGATACCTTTTTAAAGTACATTAGATATTTTACAAAGTCCTCCTTGTAAATGCCACTTAATATCAAAGACCCATCTAGTCCTTTTTACCTCTTTTAACTAAACAAGTAAGTTTGAAGCACAGTTTTAAAACAGCAGGAAAAGGAAGGTTCTTCAGGCTACTTCCTTGCATCCAGATGTGTGTGTTTTTTTCCGTGTGAAGACAAGTTTTCATTTACTCTCATGTGCAGTGAGCAGAACCAACTGTCTGTAACATGGGAATGTGTAGGGCTGTCCTGTCTGCTGTCCAATAAAAACACTACACGAGCCACTTGTGTGATTTTGAGTTCTCTAGTAACCATATTAAAAAAGAAACAGATGAAGCTAATTTTAATCATCTCATTTAACCCAATGTATCCAAAACACTTTCATTTTAACACATAATCACTGTAAGAATTTATTAGTGAGAATTCTACACCTTTTTTTTTTTTTTTTTTTTT